GTATAACAGATACAAAGTATATATTTATATATGTTACTGAATATCTGTTATAAATATCCTACATTGTGTCATTTTTAAAGTTAGTAATAGAATACACAGTACTTATGAAATGAAATTTTGTAATTATTGAAAATAAATTATAGTAAACAATGTGTTAAGATCTCAAATATTAGCTCTTATTACTATTTCTGTATTTTCAATTCTTCAGAGATAAGTTCTGAAGATGAAGACAATTCCTTCATTTCATTTGACTGTATAATGATATATTAATTATTATTGTAAATTATTTTTATTTTGATCTATATGGTTAAAAAATCAATAAGCATAGAAACATAAAAAAGCAATAGTCAGTATTTACTATTTTGTATTCTATGACTTATAATTTTTGTAATTAAAAGATTTAACATCTAAAGACCAAGTTTCTTCTGTTTTATTGATTTTGATGTAGTATCGTCTTAATTTTTTATAATGTATAATATATAAATCATCAGATATTTTCTCTGTCCAACTTTATTTTCAGATCTAAAATAATCTCAATAGTTCATCCTATTAAACTTTTTTTAAATAATAAATGCTGACTAAAAATACTCTAATGTGAGTCACATAAATATTTTTTTTGCTAAATCAGCAATTATATTTTTGTTAACAGAACTGAATATTATAAAATAAGTTATAACAGTATTAAAAATTTTATATACATTCTAACTTTATTCCATTATTTATATATAACATAAATTGATAATTTTGTACATGTTAAATACTGTGTTATATTTTTCATGTTTTATATTAAAGAGATATTACAATTTCTTTGTAATATAATAAAATTAAATTAAAAGCTACTAAATTTAATTTTAAATGGTATAAATATTCCAATTCATAAAATTATTAATATTAAAAATAAATATATAATTAGGGATGGATCAAATACAACTTTTTGGCCAACTAATAAATGATTATTTGGATGTTACTGTTGTCTTTCTGACTACTTAATACTGAAAATTCAGCCAAATATCAACTGATTTATTTGAAATTAGCTGAAAAAGATGATGTAGATTCTAAACCTTAGAATAAGATGGAGGGCAATGTCATCTATTCAATAATAAAGATTATACAGTAAAACTTCCACTAATGGACAACTTTACTTAACGGATATTTTTATAATTCCCAGACCCTTCAAACAAGACATCTATTATATTCACCTCTAAATAACAGATGATGTCGTCCATAACCAATCTTATGAAAACAAAGTCCTGTCTTCAATATTCTGAAATAATTAGTTACATATGGAATATTTTAAAACTAAAAGAATCGGTTAAAATACTCTTTCAGAGGACAAATTTTGATCATAGGTAAATAAAGACACTGAAAATAGGAATGGGAAGGAGGGCAGATTGTAAAAAGCCAAACAATACTCTATCTGTTAGCGAACATTAATCTGGTTAGATTGTCAATCATCACTTATCGTCATTCATATTAATGTTGTTAAATTTCTTTCTTATTTTTAGAATTAAGCTTTCAGAACCAAGAAACCATAAACTTTTCCTGATTTATTCGTTCATTTGAAACAGAAAAAGTTTTTATAGTTAAGACAACAGCATTTATTTGGTGAAAGTTCAAAGATTGTGTTATGAATGCAATTTCAATTTAAAGTGATAATGTTGATATTTGGTTTCCTTGAATTTATTACGTAATTTATGATCTTAACAGCTTTGTGGTGGATTAGGTGTAATTTTTTTAATAAATCATTTATTGAAAAAAGCAAAAATGTTTGAAAAATTACACCTACTTGATAACTACAAAGAAAAATCCCTATATCAATTTTTATTAGTTGCTTAGATCATAAATGATGTTATAAATGCAAGAATACCAAACCTCTTGAAGTGGCTAGCAAATCACCTTCGTAACTTGACATTCAAATTTTCATCACCTAAATCCTTCTGTTCATAACAACAGTTTTATTTTTCTTTTTCATTACTTCCACTCAGGTCATTTTTGATGAATTAATAATTAATCAATGTTTACATTTAGTTGAAATTTTTATGTTAATTAAAATATCTTATACAATCTGTTTGCTATTTAGAATTCGATTAAAATGTGATTTTTACAGCTGAAAAAATAAATAATATAAAATAATATACTGTATATATATTTTAATTATATATTTTACATATACTTTTTGGTATTTTTACATTCTTAACACAAATTTGATACTTTTGTAACCCATCGTATTCTTCACTTTTTAATGACCAGGTTAAAATACAATATGGCTGCCAGCATATACCTCTGAATAGTAGACAGACTTCTCAGTNTAAATAATTTCACACAAAAAATAAGAAACAGCAAGATTACATAAAGCTATAACTCTTAATATCATGTTTCCGTCAGCCAAACTTATACTCTGATCACTGGGATATAGCTCAACACATAAATAACATAGACACCATTAAGCAGTCAAGACCCCAAAAGGCACTTCATGACAGGCATGCCTATGACCTACCTCAAGACTATATTGACAAAGCTGTGTCAAAACTACTGGTTGGCTTGAGGTTGCCTGTTTGAAGAGACAAAAGGGTTTATGGTTGCCATTCAAAATTAGGTCATAAACACTAAAGAAAACACATTCTGAAGGATACATCACTTATAAATGACTTGCAGAAAATGCCAAATTTTGCCAGAAGCAATACAATATATAATCACTGGTTGCATGCCCTTAGTACAGACTATTAACATAGACATAATCAATTAGCAAATATAATACACTTAAGAGCTTGCACACAAAAACTGATTATTAGACACCCAAGTACCATACTACAAATACACTCCACAGACAGTATAATTTGTGTGTCATTTTCTAATACTATGACAGAGCCATAATCACATAAAAAAAACAATTCATCACAATAGACTTGACATATCGTTCATTGACAAATGTAGTAAGATCACTTATATAATAGCCATCTCTATTCCAAATACTCATAACATGAAAAATGCACACACTAAAAAAATCAACACATACCTTATTTCTTGGGCAAATGGAGTATAACTATGGAGGATAAATAGTGTGCTTATTGTCTGCTCTTCCATGGTATCATACCACAAACACTACAAAAAGTCTAGAAATGTTAAACCTTTAATAAAAACATATGCATATATGCATATGTTTATATTAAAGGTTTAACATTTCTAGACTTTTTTGTAGTGTAAACTTCCAATAACATGGAAGCTTATAGCTGCCAAAAAAAGTGTAACATTGCCTTGACTTTAGTCAGCATAATACATGGCACCAGTATCAACTGAGTAAGAAATTTGCAACACAATAATAAGAATAAAAGTAATAATAATAATTATAGTGATTCCAGTACTAACAATATACAAAATACATATACTTAAAAAATTAGTAAAAACTCAGAATTTGCCCAAGAAATAAAGCAATACTTTTTATTTAAAAAAGAAAATAATACTTAAAATTTACAAATAACTTTTCTGTAGAAAATTAAAATATAAAAATACTTTTTGATGATAAATTTTTTTTTTAACAAACACTCTTTCCAGCAATTAATAATTTCAATACTAACAGTGTTGTTTAAAGTATTTCCCATTTTTAAAATATTTATACAATGATATTCATCTTGTTAATATTCTAAAACCTTTATGTAACCGGAGGGTCGGCACCTCTTTGATGCCTTGTCAGGACTGACACCACTGTGTTTCGGTTGACACAGGAGCCATGACGGCAACTTAGTTTAGGTTAAAAAGTAGGTCATGCAAGCGGCTGTGTGCCAAGCGATCAGGTTTCAGATGGAGATGGAGAGAAAACATGACAGAAGTAAAGTACTCAGACACCCAAGTTAACTAAATAACCATTTAATTTCAACAAAATTGAGTACGTGATAGACTACAATATACAATCTATATATATAGGGTTATATCAACTTAGCCTATCTATCTAGTGGTCATGAGAGAGAGAGAGAGAGTTCACATGAGATTCGCACGAGGATAAATACCTTGTAGAGCAGCATTTCTCAAAATGGGCAAAATGACGCCCCCTTGTGGGCGATGAGTAAATCTAGGGGGCGCTGGAGGCACAATATTAAATGGTGACCAAAGGCAAAATTGGGGTCACTGAAAGCCATTCTCTTTCCTCTGTTAACAGGTTTAACAGTTTAATGGGTCTTAACAGGTCTTAACAGTTTAACAGGTTTAATGGTTTCCAGACGTTGAGAACAATGTACAGTAAGGGCACAAAGTGTGAGATTCATAGAAAAGTTTTCCTAAGAATATTTCCAATCCTTTCTCACACAAGAGAAAATGGGTTAGGGTGCATTAGGTATAACTTTATGGAACAAAGGAGGCGGTGGATCAAAAAAGTTTGGGAATCACTGTTGTAGAGGATGGAGATCTGATGTGTGCCGGTTGGGTCGAAAGGAAGAAAGTTCTAGATTACAGTTCTTATTCTGGGTTTACAATAGATACTATAGCCATAGGCGAGAAGGATGACTTACCCATAAAGATAATTAAAACAGTATATCCAAATGTATAATAAAACGATGTATCTAAACGTATCCAAAATTTGAAGCACGGAAAATGAGTGGCCTGGTTGAGGAACTGGCGATAACTGCTTGACTGCCAGTTTGGTATTATATTAAAATGATGAAATCAGGACAGCAGGTCGGAAGCTCGCGTGAGTGTCTTTATCGATGCTGAGAACTTAAAAGAGGATATACTCCCAGGTGTGAAAGTTAACAGATACTTGACAAAGTCAATGTTATGATGTTAAATTGTTTATGTTGAAGTCCGATGTTTACATTATGTTTACATTATTTTTATTAGTATTATAAATAATTTATATAATATTTTTAATAGCTACTAATTTGCTACTATTCCAAAGGACTTAAGTCAACTTTCAAATTAAAGAATTACTATTCCAAAGGACTTGTCAAACTATAACAAATATTATGTAATAAAACAGGACAAAAAGCAAAAATAATAAATTATTTAATTCTTTTAATTTTTTTTTAAATTTTAGGTGATGTTTCTTGGTGAAATAGAGGAGATTTTGGATGTAATAGAACCAAGTCAGTTTGCCAAGATTCAAGAACCCTTATTTCGACAAATTGCTAAATGTGTATCTAGCCCACATTTTCAAGTAAGTGATATCAAATTATCATCATTCTAATAATTATTTCTTCAGTTTATTAAAATAAAAGCCATAATCTTGAAACTTTGCTAGACAATAATAATTTTTTTTTTCTGATTCCTCAAACAATTATTTTTTCAATATACAGAGGATTATATTGTAATAAATAAGATTTTATTTTTACTTATATGACAAGCTGATTTAAGCAAGCAATTACTTCAATGACTTTAGATGGATAAAGTATAGATTACCATAAAAAGTAAACATATCGCAAAAGCTAATGCTACACAAAATCCATGTGTGATTGAAGTTGGATGCTGATGAAACTTGAAATCAAAAAAAGCATTGCAAAGTGATAAATTATGCTAAAGATATAATATTGAAAGTGAAAACACTACTCAGTTATCTGACCAATTAAATCAGTAATAACTTCTAAATTCTAAATTTAACATTATGATGATATTCTTAGAGAATATCTTTCATTTTTGAGATATATTGCAAGAATAAAGAAAAATGTCCTATCACTGGAAATACGGACAAAATTGGGTGTAAAAATTACTGTCTGCACAAACTTTTGCAAACCCTAATTGAGAATGTCGTTATAAGTAAGGACATATGCTAACCCTAGAAGAAGCAAAATACTTAATGCAGTTAAGTAGATTTTGTCTTAAGTATCAAAAGTATTAATAATAATTACTTTATATCTGTTCAACAAAAAATAAGCTTTTTTATATGGTAAATGACTGATGATTGTGAGTGTTATGTCATTCAGTAGAATGCTGAAATTCTTTTTTTTAAATCCAATTACTACTTGGAAAATGTGCAGTTATTGTTGTCTAACTTAAAACTTATTTACTAATAATTTAAATTATATAAATGTTATTGTAATTAATATTAAACAGATTTCTACACTATACAGTTTAAAAAATAGGAAGCAAATACATCAATAAGTGGTACTAATGTAATTTTTAGTTTTGATTTTGTTAGCATAATAATGAAAGTACAAAACAAAATGAAACATTACAAAGTCACAATATTGTTTTAAAAGTATATAATTATTTTAGTTGACAAAATATACTTTACACAATGAAAAGAGCATGGTACTAGCATTATAATTATCAAGTACATGTTGTAATTATTAACATTCATCTTTAATTGGACTGACTATAAATTTAATAATAATAAACACTAAAATTAACTCAGAAAAAAATTGATTATTGAAAGAATTTTAATGTGGATAACATCTATGGTAGGTGTCAGATATTTTTGCAACTGCATACATGTATAATTGGACTTTTTCAAAAAAAATAAAATTAAATAAATAAATAAATATCATTATTAAAAATTTTTTGAAAATTTTTAATGTAAATATAATAAAATACATTAATTATCATATATTTTTAGGTTGCAGAGAGAGCTTTATACTTTTGGAACAACGAATACATTTTAAGTCTTATAGATGAAAATAACCAGAGTATCATGCCCATTATGTACCCAGCTTTATTTCGTATATCCAGAGAACATTGGAATCAAACTATTATTGCACTAGTCTATAATGTTTTGAAAACCTTTATGGAAATGAATTCAAAACTGTTTGATGAATTAACAAGTTCATACAAGTCAGAAAGACAAAAGTAAGTTTTTGATGAAAGAATGAATTTAATTACACTTTAATAAAATTAATAACAAGTTTTATATTATCAAGTTTTTCAATTAGCTAATTATTAAAAAAAAATCTTCAAATAATTGTTATAAATATTTTTCTGGAAGTGTTTTTTAACTTTTTCTAATTTGTCTAATTTTACAGATGGTACATAAGAAACATATTATATTAAAACATTATATTAACTTTTAAGATGCTTATTATAAACAGTAAATTAAGGTAAAATAGTAATGTGGAATAATGGATAGATAGAACTGTAGATGAATGTAGACAAATATGGCAAGAACTATATTACTCAATATAAAACACCAGATAATACACAACAAAGCTATAAAAATAAGTCTTTGGTGAAAAAGATGTATAGAGCAGTTGAAAATAGGTGGAGAATGGATGGAAAGTGCTTACCAATATTCAAGCAGAGAGACTTGTCAGTATGGAATATGTCCACCTTGAATATGATGCAGCACTCAATGCTGTGGCAAGCTTGTGTCACCAAGTGATTCAGGTGTTCTTGGGGTAGATTGGTCCACTCCTCCCTTACAGCAATTGTGTTTCTCCTTAAATTTTGTATACATGTCTATAACATGACATAATATGTAATGTAATAAATATGTTAAATATATTAAATAATATGTATAAAAATTATAATTATAATGCTAGAGTAATATAAAATAGAAAGAAATGATGTACCAATATGAACAGATATAGATCTTACATATTATACATTATTACTGAAATTATATGTATTTTGATTTTATTTTATAAATGTATGTGTAGCAATTAATGTAATTGTGTTTAAATGCCAAATATTTAAAACTGAAACATTTTTAAATAATTGGCATTTTGTTCATTGATTGCTTGCTTCCAATAAAATTAATACAGTAGATCCTGATTAGTGTCAATTATTGCTTAGCATCATCAGTTATAACTGAAAGCTCAGTTAATGCCAATTATACTTTATTTAAAATTGCTTGACATTGTTTAGTTCATTATGTATATTGTGAACATTCTCTTTCCACCTTTCTGCTAGAATTAATATTATTGCTTTGATAAAGGTTCAACAAAATATAAACAAATTTTGCATTTTTTTGTATTCAAACTTTCAAAATTTTTGGCTATCTATTCAGGAAATTTAAAGTTTCATCTGGTAAAGTACTCATTGTGTGAAAGTATTTTATACACACTTTATAATTCTTTTACTACAATTAAAACAATATAGAGTAAAAGTTTTTGTTCATGTATTTGGCATTTTTCTGTTATTCTTTGAATAGAAAGTATCTGAAGCCAATTTGCATACTTTTTAACTCACCTACTTTTTGCATACTCACCTACTGGTTAATCTTTAAACAGATTATCTCATGGTTTGATGCTAATTATAATAGTAATATAATAGATTCTTGTTTTAATATCTTTACTTAAAACTATATAGAGTAACAGCTAAATACTTCAGAAGTAAAAAGCAAACTTTTAGTTTCTATAGTTAATTTTCATTATAATAAGTGATCATCAGCTATTTCAGAAATTTAACCTTTGTAGTTGTTTAACTTTATACAATTAATGTAAAAATTTTATCAGTATTATAGCTTATATTGAAAATTTAGTTTACTTTATTACAAATACTGTATATTATTTATAATTTGAAGTTTATTATAATAAAAATTTTCATTACTCTTAATACAATAAAAATTCAATGTTATAATTTTTTCTTTTTCAGAGAGAAAAGGAAAGAGAAAGAACGAGATGAATTATGGAGAAAATTGTCTCAGCTTGAAATTAATAATGAAATTAAAATAAATAATCAAAAAAGTCCAGATGCCATATCTCCTTCAAATCCTGGTCCAAAGAATTTAAGAAATCTGAGCCCAAAGACCAATTGAATAACAAGAATAACTATTTGGGCCAATAACTAATTAATTCGTACAGTTAAACTGTGCCACAACACAACCGGAGATTGAGTCTCTGAGTCCGATGCATACTATGGTGCTCGATGCACTGGTACAGGAGTTATTAACCAAAATAGACAACAGAGGCTATGCTTGTTGCCAACCAGAATTTGCCTGTAATCCAGTCAGCTTCCCTACAGATTTAATAGTCATCCATCCAAAATTTAGTAGGGAGATTATACTTGATTGATTGATTGCAAACTGTTTAGATAAATTTGTAGAAATGTTTAGAAATCTTTTTAGATGTGAAATAAATTATGTTAGTAGTTAATAATAACAATAATAATAATGATAATAATAATAATTTGTAAGACATTACAAATTAGTACTGTGTATTTTTAGATTGATTTCTGCGGGATGAAATGGGGGCCTGATTTTTTTAATTTCACTGTGAACAATGATTTAATAGCATTCTATGTAAGCATTACTTAATCATAATTGATCACTTGCTTCCCATAAAATTATAAACAAATTTACAAGATGGGAAGCATATGTATTAATTTTTAACAATCCATCTTCCGGCAATTTTCTCTTCTTACTGCACAGAGCAGTGACTAGTATTGCTATGATTTATAAACTTGATAATCCTAAAAGTCTAATGTTTGTGTAATTTGTTTCTTAAGGAAAATAGTTATTGTTTAATCCTAAGGATTTGCATAATTATAACTCCAAGACTGTATTCGCTATATCCACGTCTCTTTCTCATTCAGTCTCCGAGAAGTTTTAGATTTTGCACTCAGACTTTTGTGTGAATTGCTTTGATAACAAACTTGTCCATGTACAATTTATTGTTGTGGCCATATTTGTAGTGTAAATAAAAAGAATGAATTCCTTATCTTGTATTTATAAAAAGCTGAATTTTTGATTGTAATAACAAATTATTACATATAAAGATAATTTTAAATTATAAAATATCATTCTTTGTTTTTTTCACTCAATTATGCATAAACTAAGAAAAATTAATATTTAAAAATAGTTTGATAATTTTGTAAATTAAAAAATAACTTAAATTGAATCTTTTGAATAAAATAAAATATTATCCTAAAATACAAATTAATGAAAATTTTGTAAAACATACAATGTAATTCTCTAAAATTGATTTAAACTAGTTTATACATTAGTTCTAATTAAAAATAAAATTATTAGAGAAATAAATTTTTAATTATTATCCTATGAAATTTAGAAAAAAATGTTAACCAAATTTCAGTTTTTGTCTTCCATAATTTGACAGACCAAAGACCTTAGAGTACAGAGACAACCCATAAGTAAGAAGATGCCTTTTATTTAATAATATGAATATACATTATATGAATACTAAAACCTAGTTGTCCCTCCACTTGCTTTCATCAGTCTTATCAATGCTATCTTGGCTTGTGGAATGTTGGCCCACTCAGCATGCAAACAGTCTAAAAGTTCTCCACAGAGAGCTGGTTTTTAGCACACTTCATGGTAGTGCTTGTTAGGACTTTTGTCCATCTGTCAGATTTCCACACGCATGCGCAATGACTTTACTTTCATTACCTAAGCATTATGTTCCATTCCATCCATTCAATTTAAATGTTGGAAATTAGGCTTAAGCTTACACTCGATCAGCAAGAAATTTCCAATATTAGACTTAGGAGTTGCATAAGTGTTAAGTTCCGTTCAATCCACCATTGTTCATGTCCACGTGCATGTGCAAAAGGGAACTGAACATTTTTGTTTACGGTCACTGTAAGTTATAGCAAATTGTACCTGGTTAGTATATTGTATTAAATTAAATTTTATATTATAAGGTTTTATTTTTAAAAATATTTGATTTGCTTTTGTGGAGCTTGCTATCAGATAGGCTTGACCAGTCTTATAAATGTGGATGCACTGCACAATTCAGCAGATTCCATACATGTTCGATGTGATCCATGTCAAGTTACTGACTGGCCCATGGAAGCTTGTGGATGTTTTTTCTATCAGCCTGTAACGTCTTATCTATCTAATCAAAAGCCTGGATAATAATCTAATGGTGCATTACATAAATGAAGAGTTCAAAAGGCCAGGCCTGGACTTTGCACAGACAATAAAATAAAATTGTTATTAATGTCAAAACCCAAAATAACTACTGTATATGTAATGCAAAAAACTGTTTATTAGTAAAAGCCTAAGTATGTACAATCAAGAAATAACATTAGAAAATAACTTGCAAATAAACATTATAGATAATTTATCAAGAAACCAAAACAAATACATATAAAACTTTCCCAATAATTGGTGACTTACAAATTAAGCTACAACTAACTTAGAACTACTGTATCTCTACAAAAACTGACAAGCAACATATGTAAAAAAAAGTAATAATTGAAAAAGAATAATAAATCTTACTGATTCGTCTGTCACCAAGAAACTGTCATCACTGAAACTGGAAAGCCTTTTGTCAATCTCACTCAAGTCTTAATTCATCTCCTTATAGTGCAGTTGGGGTGACATTATAAGTATATGCCCATTTGATCCTATTTACATACTCATTAATGCTTCATTCATTCTAGTAATCTGTCATGTTAATTCATGTCATCTCCTTAAAAGTAGTTTTATAATTTTTTATTGTGTTTCTGATGACAGTTTTGGGTGGGAGATCATTCTTTTAACTTCCTGTGGAAGTCTCCCCCAGATGTCATTTCTGGGTTGATAATGTCATAAGTTGCTGCCAGCAGTCATTGTAGTAAAGTGAGTTAATTTTGAATTTTATCCGGGTGATGTGTAGTAGTCTATCCTTAATGAAAAAAAAAGCCCTCAAAATAAATAGAATAACAAACTAAAAATTATCCCCAAACAAAAATAGAATAGGTCGGAATCGACTCCTTACAAGCCAACTGGAGAATATTGGAAGAAGACCCTTCTCCAATATGGCAATGTACAGTACAGTCATTTATGTGAACTTCATGCATTTGCTGACGTTTGGATGTCTACTTACAGGTTGTCTCTGTATATTGCATAATTGAATAAAGTATTTCAAATAAATACAGTAAAACTTCTCTAACTCAAAGATAACAAGCCACTCGGTCTCAATGGAATAGCATAGGATTTAACATCTCCAACTTGAATTTCTTAACTCGAATTTTCTCCAAGTCAAAGTTTTTCATGATTAGTATATTGTATTAAATTAAATTTTATAATAATAATAATTATTATAAAGTTTTATTTTTACTTTCATTATAACTGATTTATATTACTTTCAACTTCAGATTTCCATGAAATTTTCAGACAGTTAGTTGTATCTACTCTCCAACATCCATTTGCAGACAATGTTCCAGTCCAAAGCAAGAGGTCGTCTTACTTTATCTCAACAAGACTGCAAAACTGTTTGATTCCAATTAGTTAGAACATTTTGCTGAAAGCATTACATGGGCTACTTAGAATGAAAAAACTCAAAGATTATATATTGCAAGAGAGGTAAAAATACAAATTACTCAGAATTAGTATTTTTAATTTCTATTATTCTCTAACTTGGATCGTTCATACCTTGAAATTTTTTCGTGCCTCTTGAAGCTTTGAGTTAGAGAAGTTTCACTGTATATTGCCCCACTTTTTAACTGAATTGGAAAATAATTATTAAAAATTCAAGGAAAACTTTTTTGTAAGCTAATTTTTTTTTCAATTATTCAATTCAGTATTCTGGAATATTTATTGTAGATTTATTTATGACTTTTGTAGGATTAAAATCTTAACTTTATACAAACATCTGACAATACGTCTTACTGTTGTGTATTTGCAAATATATTAAAAGCTTTTAAATATTGTAAAATTCTTCATATTTAAAAATATATTTTCCAAAACTGGTTTTATATATTTAGTATGATCAATTTGTTTTACTGTATTGCAATTTTACTAGCCTAGCTAATTTTTCAAACTCCAAGATTTGGATAGTCTAGTAAAAATTTTGATATACTCTTAGTAAAATATTTCTGATGCTAAAAAAGCATTCTTATGTCATAGTTATTGTAAAATTAATTCTATTAATCATCAGACAATGCATTAAAATGATTACAGTTACTTTTATATAAGATAATTAATGTCCAGTTCTAATCTGAAAATTTTCAATGAAATTAATTCTTAAAATTGGTCATTTTGTATTTAATATCACAACTTGACTATTTTAATCTATACAGCTATTTTAGAAGATACAAATGTTTACTAGCATTATAATAATGCTAAGTAATTGTGATAAAGCATTATATAATAATGCATGTATTGAAAATATTTTGTTCCTAATATCAATTTTTCAAATTTCTTTAGAAAATGACATTTTTAATAACAGGCTTTGTTACTGATTCAAGCAAAAGAATGATTAGAAACTAATACAGGGTATTGGTCTTTCTGAGTTTTGCAAACATCTCTACTTTTGCTGTTGATATTAATTCATTTTGATCTCTACTCTTCACTTATTAGGATTTATCAGAAAAAATAAATAAACTTTATGGTTAACAAATAAATGTTTTTGTCTATTGTGATCCAGGATGAATTAGATCAGTAATATTACAAGAATACAATTTACATTTACATTAGTAGAAAAGCAAAAGCTTTTAAGGTAGTGGTTGTTACAGCTAAACATATACATATCATAGTTCATATGGAATATCTCTTCAACATATTAACTATTTCAGAGGAGGAGAATGTTAATAACAGCATTCAAAAACTATATCATTGTTACTAATTTTGTGTATTTGTTTGGGTGTATCCTCAGTAATGTGGCTCATAGTATCTAATATGAGGTACTGTTGTAAGAGGGCACATGGCATAGAATTATTTTAATTTTGTATAATATTTCGATTGGTGCTAATTTTGACAAAAATATTAATTCAAAATTAATCAAAACCAGTGTTGACCAAAACATTACATGAAATAAAAACTATTCTATAGTATTGCATGTTGTGCATCCTCTTACATCATTTAATTGTCTGGAAGAGATCAGACCGGAGGCTTGGATAGAGTAACTGGCAACGCATCCACACCGTAAGTGGGAGTCGCAGGTTCAACTCCCGTTCCGGGCCTTTCTTCCAGAATATTCTAAATTATTTAATAATAATTACAATTAAATTAATATTTTAAATTTAATAAGAGATGGTACCTAACCCCTCCCTCTAGTGACAAATTATTTAGTAATTAATTAAATTTACATTGGGCTACTTTGCCATGATTAATCAGGTGGTTTTTTGGCTGTACAAAAAGAACTTACCATTTGATATTCAAGTAGGATTTTGTTTTTTATAATCTTTCACAAAATAGCTTAAAAACAAAAAAATTACTCAATAAATTGAGTGAACTAAATTTTGAAGCTTCATTTGCTGTTAATATTGTTAACTATGCTAATCAGACCTTGTCATAAAATTATTTATACAACATGACTATTAATAATTATTATTTCTTTTTATATATAAATTTAATAAATAAATACCTTGAAATATATGGAATCAATCTGTCATTTATATGGGAAATGGAGGAATAGATTTCTTGTTAGCCAACATAAAATAAAATTTTAAAGAAACACTTTACACTTAGGTGAAAATTTTGCATCATCTTCAAACATTGTTTTTCTTAATTTTTTTACTGATGTGGGTCCCTTGAGCAGGAAGAGCAAGAATGCAGGTTGAGGTGGTTTGGCTACATAGAACAAAGTAGTGAAGATTATGTTGGAAAGAGGGTCAGAAAACTGGTAGTGAAATGGAGGAAGAGAGGAAGACCAAGGCTGTATTGGAAAAATAAGGTGGAGGAAGACTTGAATCAGAGGGGACTTAAGAGAGAAGATGCCCTTGATAGGAATAAATGGAGGAAACATACTAGAGAAGGAAATGCTGACCCCATATAAATATGGGAAAAGGCAAAGATGAAGTAGTAGTAGTTTACTGATAGTGGTCTTATCTCAATAAAATTATCATCGAAGCTTTTTTTTATATTTAATTCTTTATAAATTTCCTTATATAGAGCTAAGTTTAAACTTTTCTCAGTCACTGTCGTGTCTCATAAGTTTATATACAGTAATTGCTTTTTTTGGCTTTGACATATGCCATATGTTCATTGTGAAATATGGTCTATAGCTCTGTTAAGGTTCCAAATGTATCATTCAGAGCTTGAATTGAGCCCAATAGATGGCATTATGTTACAGAAATTATTTTTCTGTTTTTGACAGGAAAATTTAGTTTCATTTCAGAATCTGAAAATGTATGTAAATTATTATTAATAATTTTACTTATTTGTCTGAAAGAAAAACCATTTAACTAAAAATAATTAATATTAATAATTAGTACTTACAAATAATTTATTTAAGTACATAAATAAAATAATACAATAAAGTTTTATTTATAACAAATTAGTTTTATTTATATTTTTTGAAAAAAATATGCAAAAAATTAGCTCCTATGTGTATTTTTTTTATAAAAATTAATTGTATACCAAATTGACACTTTTTGGATGGTCAGCGAGAAATAATTAGACTGAGAAGGGGTTAATGTATTTGATGTGAAATTGAGACATAGTCCAAAATATTAGTGTGTTGAATATGTAAGTTGAAAATACTAGTGATCTTTTTGCAACATCATGATAATCAGCATAGACTAAACTTTCACAAAATTAATGTAAATATATAATTTTAAAATAAAATATTGAAGAATATTTTTAAACTTCTGTGTGTGAACTAAAACTCCACTGTATGTCATTTTTTCCAATTGTAAGCCAAAATCATGCATTTCAAATACCATGTAAATCATAGGTTAGATGTATACAGTAGAGCGTCGATTATCTGAATCAATTGGGGACTGGGGTTGTTTGCAAGATCGATGTTTCGGATAACCGATTATGTACGAAAAAATATATTAATTTATCCCATCTTGACATTTTTCTCCGTTGCGTGTCACTTCACGTTGAATTTTTGTCGATGTTAAGCCTAACGAAGACTATTGTATCGTTAAAAAGTATTTTTTTATTTTATACGAACAAAATAAATATATTGAAAAATATAAAAACAATAAAAAATTATACTTCAGAAGTTAATTTAGTATCAAAAATGTAAAATATTTGAGTAGCTCAACATATAGCCAAAGATTGCAGCGCCACAGCACTGGCGAAAATTTAAATTTGCCGACTGGAATTCTTTCGGATGATTGATGTTTTGGATAATCGACGCTCTACTGTACTAATTATTATTCATTTTTGAACCATTAAATTAAATTATATTCCATGTTAGTACAAGAGACTAACAAAGTTTTCATTTTCTGAGATTTTTTTCCATTTATTTTTTGATCTTGACTTGATTATGCCCAAGGTGAAGAATGAATGCTGAGGATTCCCTGATGATCTTTAAGGTGACAAAGAAAATTCAATGATGAGACAAATTTCAAAAATATGAAAATTAAATATTAATGGGAGATGATATTAAAAATTTACAAAATATAATTCATATTTGTCACAATGGCTAAACTAACATGAAGTATTATAAAATACTGTCACTTTTATTTGCCAAAGCATTTGTCACTTAATGTAATTTGTAATACTATGTGTCATAGTTGATTTATCTACATAACAGTCAAGGCCAAAGCTTTTCCATTGACATAAAATTGAATTAAAAAGGTAAATTCTCTGATGGTTTATTATATTGTCCAATATGATCAAATTATTTATCTATGACATATCAAGTGTCTGTGTTGTACTCATTTTGCTGCACACTATATTATGATTATTACACAGGATCCAATAGAAAGAATGAATGATTTTCTCATAATTTTTTTCTTTGGCAGATTTTTTTTCATGCATGTGGTAGAACTATAAGGATGATCTTGGAGTTATATATTTGTATAGTGCTAACTCTCCCTTTAATTATAAAATGCTAGGATTCAAAGGAATGCATGGATGGAACTATTTATCTTAACAAGGTCTGTAAACACTCAAGTATTTCAAAAAGACCTTAATTGATACCACTGTCTTTACTGTCTTGCCATTGAAATCACTAAACAAAACAAAATAGCAACACCAGAATATTCTTGCCAAAATTGCAAGATGAATGGCCAGGATCATGGAGAGTGATCAAGGGCTCTCTATCCCTTCTGATACGATACGATACGCTCATCTTATTATATTTCTTTTTACTCTCTTTGTACACTTAAAATTACATAAATTAACTTTCTAGACTTAATAAATTAAAATTATTATAGATTCTAGTCTGGGTCCCTGTACAGGATGTCTGCTTAAATATTTATCTGGGAGCAAAAGACATCTTTCCAGCATTATACAAGTATATGCATGTATGCCTGTTTATTCCAGTGCTAAAATAACCAAATTTAAGATTTTCAGCATAACATACAAATAATCTGATTATAAAGAATAAAGATAACATTGCAGAAATTGATTTAAAAAAGTGAGCTATATAACATGTACCACAGAAAAAACCTTTAACCAATGCATAATAAAATTTAACACTACAAACGTTTTCAGACCCCTCCTGGGTCCTTCTTCAGGTAAAAAATCGTTTGAAATGTTACTAAATATGAACAAACATTCGTTTGGAACGATTTTTAAAAATCAGTAAGATAGAATGGAATAGCTCCGAACGTCCAAGCTTCTACGTCATATCAACAGTTATTTAAATATTTTCCTTTTTTAAAGATTTTATGAAGATCTTTGTTTTTCTGTGGTATGTGTTGTTTAGTTATCTCCAATGTGCAGTTGATCTTTATTACTAGTGAGCTTTATTTTGATGTAGAATGTATTTGAAATAACTGCCTCAATGGTAGTAGATGGTTGAACAAAGATGTAGATGGTTGAACAAAGATGTAGATGGTTGAATGTGATAATATGGATGGCACACAGCATTCCTGGTGTCACTGTTTTACAGGTTGTAAGATGTACCTTTTTAGTTTGCCAACATCACATGGCATTGCTGGATATGCATCATATATTGATACTTTAATGTGATCAGAGAGATGAAGACTGGAAAACATGGTGGAATAGGGCAATGTCCTATAAAGCAGTTGCCAAGCCAGTCTGTGAACCACTGAATCTTATCTCTGGAAATGAGATGGCATATCATTATGCTGGACCAAACCTGCTATAATTGTGCCAATGCCATTTGTCCACTTTTGTGTTTGTGGTGTTTAGAAAACAAAATGCTGGAAAGAAACATCTATTTAGAGGCAAAAGAGATAAGTCGACACAGTGTAAGTCCAGATCACGTGATTTCATCCCTGGCATCCCCTCTCTCTTGTCATCTTTTCATATGCACAAAGCATTATGAGTATTAGCAAACATCATTGCTGATCTGCATAGACTATCATATTACAGTTGTCAGACAGATGTATACAGGAAATTTTGCATAAAGATTTAAAAGCTCTCCATAGCAGATAGAGATACTGTAAATCTGGAATGCTGGAATAAATGATGAGAAATGTGTTGTGTTGTATGTATGAGTGCATTTAAAGCAGCAGTAGTCATTTAAAATACTTCCATTTCTGAAAATTATTTTATAAAAATGATTTTACCTTCAAAGTGGTGTATGTCAATGAATGGTTCTTTAAACTGTATATTTCTGCCAGACAATTTTGAAATACTGTACTTATTCTAAGTTAGAGAGTTGAAAACAATATTTATAAATATTAAATAATCTTAACATCATAATAAAGGATACAAAAAAAAGAATAAATTATTTATTTTTATTTGTGTGAAGATACTATTTACAATTAAAAAATATGGAATATTGAAAGCTTTATGTATAAATGCCATTAGTTGTCTTTCATACTTGATAATATTTAAATTATTGCAATAATTTATTATTAAACAAATGATAAACACTGCTTTCCAACAATATCTATTGCTAATTCATCGATAGAAAATGGCTTATGAGATGTATTTTGTGATGTAGCTAAACCAAGTGGACCCTTTGTCTGTCTAATTAACAACAGTTTTTCGATTTCTTTACGATGTGCCTGCAAAATAAATAAGTAATTTTTAAGTTTAAATAGAAACTAAAGCATAAATGAATTCAAGAACAGTAATACTAAACTTGTTGTCCAGAAAAATCATCAAATTTGAATGGTGGCAATATATTACAATTCAAAAGAAAATAGGTTGTTTCTTTATATACTCGATGAAATACTTTTTTCAGTCTGTCAATATTCTTTAAAATTAAATAATTTAATATGAAATCATTTTTATTAAAAACAAAGTTTCATATAATTAAATATTGAAATTTTACCTTAGTCAATTTTTTTTCTGCTCTTATTTGTTCTAACATTTCTTGCTAGAAGAAAAGAAAAATTATACAAGATATTCTTTTAGAATTTAATCTTTTAAAATTTAAAGAATTTAAGAATCAGAATGAATGTGTTTATCTAATAAATCATTGATCACAGCTAGTTTTGGATTAATTAGCAAGCAAAACAATCAATAATTTTTCAATGATATTACGAGATTGATATTAAATAAAATCTTAAATGATTAATGCATCTGTTTTTAAAGGGGAAAATATTTAACAAAATCTCCTTAGAATTTTGTACTTCTCTATTTAATCTGAAATTCAATAATGAAGAAAAAAGATGCAAGTGGTTTTGAAGTTGAATATTGATTTAGAGCAGTGTTTCTCAATCTCTAATGAATCGTCGCTCCCTTCAATAAAACCGTTACGTAGTATCGCCCCCTTCACTTCAAAATTCCGATGTCGAGGGCCAAGGCTAACGCCAAATTCATACTGCATTGAATAGACTAGTGACTAGTATAATGTTATTTGTTTAATTATTGTACGATATAACGAATAAAATATCTAATAATTCTTAATATAATGTTTTACTATATTGCCCAGAAAATTGTTTTTTGCCCCCAAAATATAAATTGTTACTAATCGCCCCCTCAACATGGAAAAACGCCCACATGGGGGCGGTATCGCCCCCATTGAGAAACACTGATTTAGAGTTTCTATTAACTAATAGAGATGATAATTTTCTATGAGGTAAAAATGCCTAGAAATAAGTCAAATTATATAGCAGACAGAATTTTTTGTTTATGCAAGAGATTAATCAATAGCATCCTATTTGTAGCTAAAAGTTTTACGGATCTGGTTTTGAAATTTAGTACAAAATTATTAAAAATATCCAAATCTGAGTGCTAATACTGCAATGATCAATAACAAAAATCAAGTCAGTCTCCTAATTAAAGTCTATAACTAAGAGAATCTTGATTAAGGAAGGAATTGATATTATTATTTTTTTAATTTTAAAAATTCCTTACTTCAAATAGGTTTATTGGAGAACATTATCATTATAACTAACAACAACATGTTAAGTCTGTAATTTTAGTGAATGATTTACCAATAATGCACTAAATGTTTTCTTAGTTCAATAAATTTTTAGTTTTTCTAAAATTAAAAACAAAAAACATCTTTCTAATTAATATACCAATTAAAAATAATAATAATAAAATAATGTCCAAAACTTAAGCTTGTAAAGAGTATAGATAATTTCTTTTGTTTGCCCAATATTTTGATTTTAAATGTCCTATTAGATATATTAATATGGTCATATTCTTGGTAAATTAAAATTTTAACTGTTTTCATTGATTTCAGTCAAATAATTTTAACAAAAAGTTTAAATTACTAAGCATATTGTTTGATCAAAATATTAGGTTGTTGCAAATGAAATGGCAAATTTTTATTTCTAATTTTAAACATTTATTAATTTAATTTAAAACTTACATATTCAATCAAAATTGTCTTCACCAACATTAATACACTTTTCCCAATGCAATAGAAATGCGTTAATGCCAATTTCACAGAAATCACAAGAGTAAGAAGCTAAAAAGTCATTAAAGGTACTTTTTATTGCATCCTCTTCCTTGCCAAAAATCTGTCTAATGTATAAAAAAGTGAGTCTGTTGGCAAAATGTGTGGAGAATAAGGTGGATGGGGAATAATTTCATTTGTTTTTTTTTGTGATAAATAAATAAAGAACTGCAGACCTCCAAATGATGCTCCTTATCTCTCTCACTGAGTTTGTGTGGTACCATTTGATTGAGCTACTTTACTTTCCCTAACATATTTAGATGTCAAGAGATGGTTGGATAATGTCTAGTATGTTCAACCTTTCCTTGATTTCCTGGACAGTCAGATGTTCTGATTTGATGATATTCTTCAATTCTGATTTTTGAGATTTGTATTCCCAGAATGAAACTATTTGAAATAATGCCTGGTGGCCTGCTCATGCACAGAACCTTCACCAAAAGTTTTATTGGTATTTTGGGTTGCTTTGGCTGAATTATGTCCCTGCTTATATTAAAAAAAAAAAAAAATACTCTTAAATATGTGGAACTCACAATATAAATGAGATTACAATTTTAAATTCACATGTTATATGTGTGCTCTTCCAATTGCAAACATACAGTACTGTTCACATGGAAAAAAGTTGAACTACAAGGCCAGAAAGTTTAAATTTTAAAGAACAGGCATTTCATTTGCAATGACCCAATAATAGGTGCAATGATCATTCACAGTAAAACTGTTATGTATTCTCTATTCTGATTCTAAAATACACATGGATAAGTTTGAATAATTGATTATTATATAATATTAAATTTTTTAATAATTCAATAATATATATTAGACAAAAAATAATTCTGATAAGAGGATGTATCACTTTAATAATCTGAGATAATAAACCAATTAAAAACTATTAATTAAAATAAAGTAGCCTCTCATTATGTCACAGATGTATATATCAACCTGTTTTGTTTATTTTTGATCTCCATGCCAAACTGCTTTCTCATGGGTCATAATTCATGCAATGTTAGTTTCAAGATCAATGATATTAAATGCCAGTAGAAATTCAATGGCAACAAATTTTTAAAAAAGATTATTGGTACTTTTATATCTGGAGAACAAAAAAAAAAAAAAAATACAGTAAATCCAAATCAGTGATATAACAAGGGGCTATTGTAGCAATTTAATGATCATTTCAATACACTTAATAATCAAAATTTAATTGAAATTTATCAAATAGAAGAAATTAAATTTGAATAAGACTTGATTTAATAGACTGATAAAGATTTTGAAGTCTAAGCTATTTAAACAAGATGGAAGAGATAAAACAAAAATAAATGGTATTTACCCTTAAAATATTCAATATATATGGTTGTTGAAATAATTTTGGGAATGTTGATTCTACTGGACAGTGCTGTAATTCTATATGAGCATAATAATTTTGAAACTAAATAAATACATTTTGCTTAATTGTAAAATGTTATTAAATTTTTATTTTAATTATATATTGCAGCCATTACAGAATTAATAATGTAATTAATTCAAAATAACACTTAATAAATACTTTTAAAATGAAATGTAAAAGTTTTAGACTAAGTAAATTATTGACATAAAATAATTTACCATACAGTCAACTCCCAATTTTGCAGGGACAGATTTACTGTGGTCAGTGATGCCAAGAATGTATGTGTATTGCTCTTGAAAGGATATGTCTGGTTGTTTAAATTTAATTAAGTGTTGATTTTTTTATGTTAATGAAGTTTTTTATAATTTTTACAGTTATATAGCATAATTAATGCATGATTAATTACTGTAATCATAGTTTTTATTTATTCATTTAAAAACTACACAATAGCATTTTAAAGTCTTTGTGATTGATAATGAGCTATGTTTTTCATACTGTATTGAGCATATTACTTTGTATAGTTCTCTTATGATATATTGAAACATTGTGCCTATTATTGTGTACATAGTTCAAGTAATTTGCAAATTCACCATGAAATTCAAAACACTGTGGTCTATGAACACTCCATTACCCTATTAAATCAGGAGTTGACTGTATAACATTTTTAAAAGTATTTCTAAAAATTAAAAATTAAGACAGAATTATTAAACAATGAAATAAAAACTATAGCATAGACCATTGATACAGCCAATGGCACTTACATGAAATCAAAATGACTGTTTGATGTAAAACTTGATGTGTTTTGCTAAAATAATATTTCAACTGATTCTGTAAGTTTACTGATTACAACTTTAAAAGCATATAGAATTTTTAAGATTTTTGAATTGTCCTCTCTATTATTTAACATACATGATTTGTTTGATTGTTATTGTAGCATGTACTGTAATGTACATTACATGCATGTTCCTTTCTTCCACTTAATAATATAATTTTGAAGAATATTGCCATGTTTTCAAGTTGTTTTATCATAATTAATGACTTTTCTATAATATATTAAATTTAATTACTGAACAAGAACAAATATATAATTTCAGTATATATTTATATTTACTGTATTTATGTATTTACATGTATTTATGCTAAATATATGTATAAATATATTTATGCATATATTTAGCAATAATGTTTCAATTTTCTGTCATAATTATAAATAAAAACAAATAAACATTTTTGTTAAATAAACTACAGCAATGAATACCGAATAAAAAAATTGGAGCCATCAGTCCAGAGCTAATGATGAATATTGTTACTGTGCATTCAATTGTTTAAAACATAGTTATTTCTTTGATTTATGTAATTATTATTAAGCTAAACAATAGATTTCAGAATAGAAACCTTTGTGTAATAAATTTACTTTAGTTGTATGTTGTTATATTAATAAATTAATACGTATTTATTGTTAAAAGCATTTACATTTTTAGAATTTTAAGACTGTGTATTCAAAATTTATAAACTAATGAAATAACTTATTTTAAAAACTGAATATTTATTTTATATTTAATAGTTGTTATAATTTTTTTTTTGTAAATTTTCGTCCGATGGAGATAATTATGATTAATTCTTTTGAAGACAAAGTTGTTATAATAATTATTAAAAATTTCATTTCTCAGTAGGAAGGTAAGATAACATATAAATAATGAATTTATTTAATTAAAACAAAATATAATTATAAATATTTATATTCAAAAATAATCTTACTTGTATTAATAATGGTATCTGTTTGTTGCAATAAACAATCTGCCAAAGAATGTCTATACAGGAATATCAAGAATATCAAACTACATGGTCCAATTAATACACTTGGAAGAAAACTGTAAAACGTTTTTTTAAAAAAATAATGTTAACAATAATTATATATTTTATTATTTAGAATATAAACTATATATTTTCTAAAAAAATATTTTGTTTAATTATTATTAAAATCAAAATTTAAATTGAATAAATTCAAAACTAAATATATATAATATTATATCAAATTATGTGAAATATATAACCTACTCTAATTGATGTTTCATGTCTTTATCAGGAGAATTCAACCGGAGAATTAACTGTGGTTGTTTACTTTTTGAGATAAATGTTTTCAACACATTTTTTTCTATATAAAAAATTTGTGATTAGAATGAAATTATAAAATTTAGTTTAAATGATTAAATATTTCATATTACCAATTAATGATAATGAATTAACATCTTTATCAAATGGATTTCCTTCATGGATATGTAGCACTTTAGATCTAAATTTAAAACAACATATAAATTTTAAAATACACATATATTATTATTTAATCTAAATATAAAAATTAAGTTCTTTTACATTTAAAATTAGCTAGTTTAAACAAATTTTCTATATTTAATGCATAATTTGTATGTTTATATAAAAATTTTGCACTTTAATACAGTTTTAGTTAAGCAATTTAATATCTTTTCTAATTCAGTAATTAAACACATTTTTAATCAAGTAAAATTGAATGGTAATTCATTTCTCATTACAAAGAAAATAATTTTAAAAAATGCTAATTGTCTACTGTTTGATATGAATAATGAAGTCCTTATAATTGCAATTATTGTAAATACAGTAAGACCTTAATTTAACAGACTTTGGATTAAATGTAAAAAATTTCTGGTTCTATGTCATAAAATTTGTTTTATTATTATTAAAAATTGTGTTTTATATATAATTAAATTAACATATTATTTTTTTCAAATCCAAGAGTACTGCTCTTAATTTCATTCCACAATTTGGGGTATCTCGATATATCATCATCCAAAGACAAATAAGTAGGAAATTTTGTTTGTTTTTGTCAACTTAAATTTTTTCTTCTTTTTAAGAACATTTATTTATTTGTTTAGTTCCATGGTTCTTAACCGGTGGTCCGTGGACCACTGGTGGTCCCTGAAAGCACCCGAAGTGGTCTGTGAAGTCATCCTAAAATTATTAAATAAATGATGATGATTCAAGCATTGTCTGCTAAAATGCTCAACGTCAAGCATTGGCTGCTAAAATGCTCCTGGAATACTTTGCTATTACGATGAAAACAGCTATAAAAGTAGTCAACTTTATTAAAAGGAGTGCACTTAATACTCGTCTCCTCAAAAAATTATGCAGTGATATGAACTCTGAACACGAAACGCTGCTTCTTCACACTAAAATGCAATGGCTTTCTAAAAGAAATATGCTGTCGAGGTTGTGCAAACTGAGAGAAGAAGTAAAATTATTTTTAACCAATAAGGAAAACAAAGAGTTGCTGTCTGAGTTCTGTCAGTTCAAATTTCAAATACATTTTGCTTATTTAGTGGATTTTTTTGCACAACTAAATAAATTGAACTTTCAAACTGCAAGGGTCAGGAAATATGAAATTGGAAGGCACTAGCAATATATTTGCATTTGAAGATAAAATCAGTGCATTTATCGCTAAAATCGACCTATAGACCAGCAAAGTCGAAAGAGAGAATTTTTCTGCATTTGCTACATTGAACCCAATTATTGATGGACAGTGTGCTGAGATTAAAGGACAAATACAAAAGAACATTACATTCCATTTGCAAAACTTGAAAAATGAATTCAATCGCTATTTTCCTGACTGCAAGGACAAAGGTATTCGGAAACTGATCCACAATTCTTTCATAGTCAACATTTCTGAGGTGCCTAATGAAATACAAAAAGAATTAATTAATTAATTGAAATACAACGCGATAGTAACTGCAAGGATACATTCAAGACGGGAATTAATCTTGAAGATTTTTGGAACCAAAAAGCTATTGCTTTCCCTAAAATTCGAGAAATTGCTTTATGGTACCTAACTTTATTTTCAACTCCATATTTATGAGAGCAAGGATTCTCAGTGCTTTTGATAATAAATAAACATCAAAATCGGTTGGATGCCAGTGCCGACATGCATTTGGCTTTGAGTAGCAACGAACCAAGAATTCAGCAGTTGGTAAACAATATGCAGTCACAAAAATTGCACTAAAATAATATAATTAATGTAACATTTTCGCAAATAATATAATACTCTTGGTTCTAAATAATTTTATACATGTTTAATTTATAGAACAACCTTATAAGAATCTATATTACTACCAAACAGCTCATGGTCCATGGCAAGACAAAAATTTTGATAAATGGTCCCTCATCGCTAAAAGGTTAAGAACTGGTTTAGTTAAATACAATTAAAGTGCATTTTCCAAAAAAATGTTTGTTCATTTATTTTGATTTAGATCAGGGGTGTCCAACCTTTTTGTTCCTCTGGGCCTCATTGGAAGAAGTCATGGAGTTTTGGACCACAAGTATATATAATATATTTGTGACTCAATCCTTAAATATCCAAGTATATTTAAGGATTAACAAGTCTAGATTATAGTAATAAGTATTAAAACTTTATCACAAAAAAGGATATTTTAAAAAATTACTTCTCCAGACACTTTCAATTTTTACTTAGAAATAAATAAATTCATTTATTATAAAGGAGACAAACAAAAATTTATTTGAAAAACACAAATATTCATTTTATTTGGGTCTCTAATTAATAAAAAATGACGAAACACCATTTTAAAGTGCATTTTTATTCGACTAATATATTTATAAATAATATGTAGCCCAGAAAGTAGCCAATGAGCCAAATGATAATTTTTACGCCAAACTAAAAAAAATGGTAGCCAAATTTGGCGCAAAGTAGCCAAATATTGCAATGCTGGAAGGAATACTAAATAATGCTGGAGTTGGAACTCAAAGGATTATAGACCCAAATTTGAGAAAAGGAGAGAAAGGCCAAACGATAAAAAGTAGTGAGGAAGGTTGGAAAATTAAAGGTCAATATTTGCATAACAGAAGGTCTATTTAACCTTTCTCACTACTTTTTATCTTTTGGCCTTTCTCTCCTTTTCTCAAATTTGGGTCTATAATCCTTTGAGTCACAACTTCAGCTTTATTTAGTATTCCTTTGTCATCCACACATCTCCAAGTATTTGAAAATATTTCCTTTTCACTCAAAAATAAAATATGTATAAAAGTTTACGGCTTTGTGAAACTTCTTTTTTGAGTTTATGCCGTTGAAATAAAAAAATAATTTGTTGGTTTTGTTTACATGTTTATTGGGCCGCATTGGAACTTGCCTTGGGCCGCAGGTTGGACATCCCTGATTTAGATCATATACTTGTTTATTACAGTCTCAGAATTACAGTGAGTATGTAAGCAATAATACATATAGAAAACTTTTTTGTGAAATTAAACTTCTCCTACATACTTAATTTTAATTATATAAACATATCAACCTAAGTAAAAACAGATAAACTAATCTCAGAAACATTAGAAAAAAATATTCATTTATTGATTGTGATTTGTGCATGCTTTAAATATAATTAAACTGATGTAATGTATTAAGTTAAGTTACACTATAAATAATAACAAACCAAGATCTGATACATTTAAGCTACAACAAGAAATTATAGATTAATTGTACACTATAGTGCTAAATTATTAAATAAGTAAACTGATTTAAAAGTAAGATTTTGTAATGTCCCATGTGATCAAAACTAAGTAAAAAAAAGTGATGTTACACAAAATTAGGGTTCTATCAAGTAACAGGCCTAGGCTTGGGTCATGGTGAGTAATTCCTGTGACTTAATGGAAGAGAAAGAATTACAACAAAAATTTAAAAATGACTCATATATAAGCAAAAATCCACAACAATATATATTAGATTGCACTATGATATATATAAATAACAAAAATAATTATAAACAAGAAGTTAATAATAAATATATATTTCAAATATTCAAACAAGTCAAAATCAATTATGTACAAGCAAAACAAAAAACAACCAGAGAAAAAAATTCTTTTTCCCAGCTTGGGACATACAATTAATTAGATCTCCACCAGTGTCAACTAAATTCAAAACAAAGAATACATCTCTTACAAGTTAAGTGCTTCACCAAAAATAATGCCAGACATTTGGTTCAAAGTAGATAGCCTTCACACTCTCACAGTCACCTTTAGGAGCTTCACACTTCTCCATTGAATGGGTGTGTTGTCCTTTATCTGGCTTACAAGTGTAATGACACACTATCCTATTTACACATTTGAGATTTACAGAAGCAGTCACATATGCAAGTGAATGTTTTAATTTTGAATTTAGTTTATTGTTGTGGTTTTGGGAGTTTTCCTCCTTAAAAATGTAACAAAAAGTCCCCAAAAGCAAAACAATAACAACTAAATATAAAATCCAAAACATAAAATACTGATTTAACTTTCAACTCTTTACAATGTATCACTTTCTTGTAATAAATTTAATGTTTAGAATTAAATTATTATATTGATAATATAACTATAATCAATTTTATTGTAGCCGTAGTCTATACAAGAAAAGATAAACTTTTCTGTCATTTTGATGATTTGTTGATAACCAACTGTCAACAAGATTGACAAAGTCATGTGCCATGTTATTAACATTATTATAAAGTTAATTTTGATGAATAAAATAATTTATATATATATTTAAAACTATTGTCTAACTTAACTGTACAATGTTTTGCTTTATTTACACCCAGTGGCATTACCTTTGCGATTTTGCTAAGAGAATAGAAACTAAAAATGACACCACTACTATTTTGATTTATTTGCTTCATTTTTAGAACAGATTATTTATTTTAGTTTTTATTTTAATTAAAGTAATGTTTGTATAAAATTTAAATTATTATTAAATAAGTTTCAAGTTAGAAAAAAGTAGTAAAATAAGTCTTTGTAAAATGTTTTCTAAATAGCAATTGAGCGAACAAAACAGAATTTCAGCATCATATTATATAGTCAGACCATTGTAATCCATATACAATATAAGGAAATTCATCCTCTTTAAACACTGTATAAAATACAGATACATCTCAACCTATGATCCCTTGACAAATGACCCTGACATTAATTACTGTTTATATTAAGTCATATTAGCATAAACATGTCTCATGATATGATCCTTTTGTAGTGATCACATGACCGCTCTTATTACACAGGTCTGCAAGTAAAAAACTGCATAGATTTTTATACATTTTCTTACAGATTTCAACTTGATAAAAACAAAAAAAATACCAAAAAAATTCCATCTCGTCAATTTTTTTTGTTCCACTCAAGTTTTTGTTTGTATTTAGTGTAAAATTCCTGGTTAACTTAAAATTTTTTTCATTTAAAAAATGGTCTTAAAAAGAAGACTTCTCACATTAATTCTATCAATTATAGCTGGACTTGGCAATAAATAAATAAAAATGTTAATGGTTGAAGAGAATAGTGGTAGGGGGAGGTGGGTTAAGTAGTTTTAGTGTTAGGAGGAAGGTCGTGTATCGCACGACCTTCCCTTCCTCCTAACACTAAAACTTGCATGATCATGTAGAAACAGGTTAAAAGTTGATAGTGAGTAATATTACTGGTGAGGTTGAGCATGTTTCGACAAGCTAAATAAGTTCAGTATCTTGCTGGCCATCTAATGCCACACTCAGTTTATATCCAGCATTCGAACGCTACTGTGCTTGTATTTTTATTTCTGGAATATGGCTCGCAGAGGTTGTGTAATTTCTCCCGACAGCTTCTGTTATGTTTGTGGTGAATACACAGTGAAAAGTCAACATCCCCTTTATCTGATCCCGTTTTTGGAAACAATAGAATAAAAGGAAAAAGAAGCATGGGACTCTTTCAAGAATGGAGTGCATAAGTTTTTGGGTAATACTAAGGACCCTGACTATAAAACCATCGTACATCGAGCTTCATATGCTGGCAGCAGCATATGAAGCTCAAGGATGCAAGATGAGCTTAAAAGTTCATTTCTTACACTCCCATATTGACTATTTTCCAAAAACTTGAGAGCCTACAGTGAAGAACAGGGTGAAAGATTTTACCAGGATGTCCGTGATATTGAGAGACATTACCAAGGAAAATGGGATGTCAATATGTTAGCTGACTACTGTTGGATGCTCAATTGAGAAATCAGAGAAGGAAATCGGAAACGAGTTCAGAGAAGCATCAAAGAGAAAAAGAAAAGGTGTCACAAGAAAAAAGAGTAGACCTAAAATTGTGTATAAATATCAGAAACAATTTTTTGATTAGTTGTAAGAAAATATAATATATTTAATTCATTGTAATAAATAAGAGTTTTTATCAAATATTTGTTTTTATTTTGAAAAAACCTATATGTGATGGGATGTTACGGAAGTCATTTTTAGAATCTCCAATCTTTAAAACATATAATTCAGCAAAAATATCCCATGCAGCTGAAAAAAAATTTTTTTTTGTAGACCTGTGTTATTTACCATTGTGTTTTCATTTACATATATACTATGTTAGATTTCAGATCAAATGAATTTATAACCAGGCTGTTGGAATAAATTGATATATATAGATCTGTTCATGTACATCTGGAAGCAAAAATCATAATTAATCTGGGTGGCATAATTGATAATGTATTTGTTCAGTTTACAGGAGTTGTGGATTAAAGTTTTGTTCAGGGTTGATATTTTCATCAAGATGTTTCTAACTGTTAATGCTAAACTATTTCATATATAAATTAAATTATAGTGTAAAAATAATCTGTAATTCTTAGTAGTTTGGCTTATTTTAATATTTTTAATATATTTGTGTTAGTTATATATATCATATATTATTGTATTTCATGAAAATTGTGACTTTCTTTTAGACATTTTATCATTGATAAGGTTCACTCACACATATGTAACCCGAAAAATAACCAAAAGAACTCAATTTATGTAGGTCAATATCTCATAACATAAGACCAAATAGATAAGTTTAAAAAAGCCAACCAGATGGTAAAGGGAATTGATCTTGAACATACAAACAACAATATGACAATGCAAGATAAATGCTGTGGTGAAAACATCTTTCTAGTGCATTTTCCTTTTTTAATATGAAAATAGTATATAGCCTACGTTCATCTGAAAAGAATAAACTTTCCAATAGCAAAAGAATTTTAATGGTTCAGTAGATTTTGAGATTACATCCAACAAACAAATATTCTCACTTTATATATTAGTATAAATTAATAATAGAAAAAGCATTAATTTAGCATAATAGTCAGTTTAAATATATATTCTGAAACTAATATAATAACTTACTTATTATGTACAGGAATTCCAGAGTCATCCAATAATCTCATAAATGACCAACCACAACTTAACTCTTTCTTTTCAGCATTTTTCTATTAAACATAATAAAATTTAACTCAGAGTTAGCATATTGTATATATACATATACAGGGTGTTTCAAAATTCTTGTTACCAACTTATAGAATAGATTCATTAAGAAAAAATAAGATAAAATGTTCAGTAAATTTTTTGAATAAAACCTATATTAAGGACTTATGGCTGTTTAAAGTTCAGTGACATCACTTCTGGAATTTGATTCATCCAAAAAGATTAAAAATGTATATTTTTTATCATAATCTTTTATTTTCATTATAATAAATACTTTTTAAGTGAATACAGTAAATTTTTACTTCCATTTGACTTTTTTTTTTTTGGCTACATGAAGAGTCTTATAAATAAGACCCTTGTAGAGTTGAAGAAAGATCTGTTTGCATGAATTATGGTTTCAGCACAAGAAATTCAACACACATTAGGCATTTTTAAGCAGGTGTACCAGAATATGCTTTGCAGATACAATGTTTGCATAAATGTTGGATGTTGCCATATCAAGCAACTCTTGTAGTGGATCAGGATGTAAAGCCAAACAAATGCTTAAGAAATATTACATATTTTTGTAAAAAGAACATTGCTTTCAAATACATAAAAATAAAGTAAAAAGTACTCATTTTAAGATGAATCTATTTTTCTTAAAAACATTTCAATTTAAATAAAAGAGTAAAACGTAAATTTGTCCTCATTTGTACAAAAACTTGGAAGTGATATCATTAAATTTTAAATGTATATAATTTCTTAATAAAGGCTTTACTCAAAAAATTATACTGAACATTTTTATCCTAGTTTTTCTTAAGGAATCTATCCTTTAAGTTTGTAACAAGAATTTCAAAACACCTTGTATACATTATTAAGCAATAATCTCAAAATCTAGTTCACATAATTCATAATTTATAAAAAAAAAAGTATTTTATAGTTGAATGTTTTAATTTTAAATCGTATGTGCAAGTAAACTATTATTTTTATATTTTTATGAATTTAATAATTATATGAATTACAAAAACATTAATTAACTCTAAATCTAAGAAAAAAATCATCTGAATGAATAAGCCTAATTAAGTCAGTTCTAATCAAGTTGTTAACAACAATCACAAGCAAAACATTTTTATAGAATAGAAAGGTAATTAAAATGAAAATTCTTGCTAAAATGATATAAGATTTATATTAATTTAAAAAGAAAACAATTACAATTAGGTATTGTTATAAATCCAATCATATTTACAGTAGTTGTTAAATTGAATTTAAAAACTTTTAATTTAATTAAAACATAATATACATACACCTTTTATATTTTATTTCTTTAATATTATATTTAATGAAAATATCACTTTAAGTATTAGCATATTTAAATTATTAAAATTTAGAAAAATTTAAATAATTTGAGACAGAGAGAGTGATAATTGCAAATGATTAAGCTATTTCAATTTCATAATACAACATATTAGTTTTTTCAATATTAAAGTATCATAATAAAAATTTTTAGTTTTACTTCATATGCACATTGTGTTCAAAAATATCAAATTGTGTATTTTTTAAATTCAAATTTTTTTCTCTATTATTCAAAAAAGGAAAAAAGTTTACCAATTTTAAAGTTTAAATTAAGAATTATAAATTTTATTAAATACAGTATATAAAAAATAAATAACTTACTTGTTCTTTGTAAATGATACAAAGTTGAAATAATATACCTTGAAATAAAAGATATATCAATAAATATCAATTTATCATTTGAAATAAATCGTGATAAATATTTTAAAATCATAAAAATGTGTTGGCTCAACTTCAATCTCTTTCTATCTCATTAATAAACACAATATAAATTGTGAATAACATATATCATAGCTCTTTTCTCATTGCAAACTACAATAATTCACCTAATATTAATAAAAAAATAAGGGATTAACCTTGATAAACTCAAAAGCCATTCTAAATCTCCTTTTTTGTAACATTTTAAATCTATCCTATCTTAATACATGGTTTAATATTTCTACACATTTCCATAATTTAATGTATATAATTCTCATCAACCCCTTTTCTTCTNCAAAAATTAAAAAAAAAAAAAAAGTCCTTGAGAGGTCAGAGACCTTATTGTTACTATAAATTGTCTTAAACAGTCTTAAACCATGTGAAAATATTTTATTTTTGAATATACAAATTTGCATTTCCTCTAGCAATTACTACTCGAGTGAATACAGTAAATTTTTTGTGTAATTTGACTTTTTTTTTTTTTGGCTACATGAAGAGTCTTATAAATAAGACCCTTGTAGAGTTGAAGAAAGATCTGTTTGCATGAATTATGGTTTCAGCACAAGAAATTCAACACACATTAGGCATTTTTAAGCAGGTGTACCAGAATATGCTTTGCAGATACAATGTTTGCATAAATGTTGGATGTTGCCATATCAAGCAACTCTTGTAGTGGATCAGGATGTAAAGCCAAACAAATGCTTAAGAAATATTACATATTTTTGTAAAAAGAACATTGCTTTCAAATACATAAAAATAAAGTAAAAAGTACTCATTTTAAGATGAATCTATTTTTCTTAAAAACATTTCAATTTAAATAAAAGAGTAAAACGTAAATTTGTCCTCATTTGTACAAAAACTTGGAAGTGATATCATTAAATTTTAAATGTATATAATTTCTTAATAAAGGCTTTACTCAAAAAATTATACTGAACATTTTTATCCTAGTTTTTCTTAAGGAATCTATCCTTTAAGTTTGTAACAAGAATTTCAAAACACCTTGTATACATTATTAAGCAATAATCTCAAAATCTAGTTCACATAATTCATAATTTATAAAAAAAAAAGTATTTTATAGTTGAATGTTTTAATTTTAAATCGTATGTGCAAGTAAACTATTATTTTTATATTTTTATGAATTTAATAATTATATGAATTACAAAAACATTAATTAACTCTAAATCTAAGAAAAAAATCATCTGAATGAATAAGCCTAATTAAGTCAGTTCTAATCAAGTTGTTAACAACAATCACAAGCAAAACATTTTTATAGAATAGAAAGGTAATTAAAATGAAAATTCTTGCTAAAATGATATAAGATTTATATTAATTTAAAAAGAAAACAATTACAATTAGGTATTGTTATAAATCCAATCATATTTACAGTAGTTGTTAAATTGAATTTAAAACTTTTAATTTAATTAAAACATAGTATACATACACCTTTTATATTTTATTTATATATTATTATATTTAATGAAAATATCACTTTAAGTATTAGCATATTTAAATTATTAAAATTTAGAAAAATTTAAATAATTTGAGACAGAGAGAGTGATAATTGCAAATGATTAAGCTATTTCAATTTCATAATACAACATATTAGTTTTTTCAATATTAAAGTATCATAATAAAAATTTTTAGTTTTACTTCATATGCACATTGTGTTCAAAAATATCAAATTGTGTATTTTTTAAATTCAAATTTTTTTCTCTATTATTCAAAAAAGGAAAAAAGTTTACCAATTTTAAAGTTTAAATTAAGAATTATAAATTTTATTAAATACAGTATATAAAAAATAAATAACTTACTTGTTCTTTGTAAATGATACAAAGTTGAAATAATATACCTTGAAATAAAAGATATATCAATAAATATCAATTTATCATTTGAAATAAATCGTGATAAATATTTTAAAATCATAAAAATGTGTTGGCTCAACTTCAATCTCTTTCTATCTCATTAATAAACACAATATAAATTGTGAATAACATATATCATAGCTCTTTTCTCATTGCAAACTACAATAATTCACCTAATATTAATAAAAAAATAAGGGATTAACCTTGATAAACTCAAAAGCCATTCTAAATCTCCTTTTTTGTAACATTTTAAATCTATCCTATCTTAATACATGGTTTAATATTTCTACACATTTCCATAATTTAATGTATATAATTCTCATCAACCCCTTTTCTTCTTGATTCAGAGTTCTCAGGAATACTGAAGGCATCCCATATTAATAATATATATACAAGCTTAACTGTAAATTTTTTGACTATCTTTTCTTACCCTTAATGAAAACGCCCAAAAATATTTAAAAATGAACACAAATTGAAAGCAAAAAACAAACAGTTAATCAATTTAAAGTCTAAAATTGTGAAAGCGACAGTTAATAGAAATAGAAATATTAATGATATTTACGAATAAATAATGTTCAAAACCAAATTAAAATAGTATTTATAAGCAGTTCTTTAAAAAAGACAAAAGCAATATCTGAGTTAAAATGAGAAAATTTTATATATTAAAAGAATTTTGAATGTTTACAGCTAACTCTCTCTATGTTCGAGCCAAACTTACACTGCGAAGCAATTGCAGTGCTTGAAGTGGCAGAAATATTTATTATACCACTTCTAGCATTAAAGCTATTGGCAGCTCAAAGACCAATATATCTATTGACTCTGATTATAGGAAAGACAACCAGCTGTAAAACCTGAATCAATAAAATCCATATTGACTAAGCTGATAAAATAAAGCACAAGCAACAAAGCTAAATAGGACAGAAATGAAGATATACAGAGTCTCTCTAAAGAACAGATTGTCAAATGATAAACTTAGAGAAATCTTGTTATTAAAGCTATAAGTGATTTACTGAGAATCAGTAGGTTAAGGTAGTTTAGACATATGGAAAGAAAAGAAGAGAAGAAAGATTAATAAGTGTTTTCTAAAGAATTTTGAAGGATAATAACTAATGGACGACAGACCTAAAAAAAACTTGGTATGAGTTAGTAAAGAATTTACAGCTGATTGAACCTCTTTGATTAAATATGCAATTTCCAACAAATGGCATTAGAAATTTAATGCTTTTTTATGGAAAAATTCTCTTCCAAAAGTTCTTGAATACAGAAGCAGATCAAACCAAACAATTTTTTTTTCATTAGAATCTGCCTTAGTTCTTCTATTAATGTAAAGTTCAGAAATTTGATTTTCAAATTCATTAATTTTATACAATTTTTAAAATTGTAGAAAATTAATTAATTTAATTTTCAAAATTCTGGCTGTATGTTAATAGAGTCAAAATCACCAACATAAAAATAACGATGAATGAAAGAAAACCTCTCTTCTAAAGCTGGATGTCCAATGCAGTTAAGAGTTAATTCTATTTCACTGAGAAACTTGGAACAGAATCCAGGTGATCAATTTCAGGAATTTTTTATACATGGTCTGCCCCATCTGTCACCCACTAGTGAGCCTTGCTGATCTCAGAATGGGTATAATTAAAACAGGTCTTTTTAGTGCCCATAAAATAGAGAGACAAAAAATGAAAAAAAAAATTAATCTAGCAGACATGAAAATAATTCAGATTAACTTACAATTAGGGTGATGACTTCTCACAAAGAAAAAGAAATGAGCTAAAACAAAAACACACAACTCATTCATTTTTCAGAATATATCTGAACAATTTTTAAAAAGTAACTAAAATTTTATATGGTTTGTAAAATTCTGAACAGTTGGCAATGCTACCATCTGCTAGAGATTGTCTGCATAATCAAAAAGGTTACAATCAGCCTTAAAGGTTTTCAGTCTGTCTTGAAATTGTCCATAACAAGAGTGGGATGAGGAGAATTCAAGGTTCCTTGATTGATCTTTATAATTCAGAAAAAGAGTCTTAAAATGATTGTTGTTGTTGTATGATAATGAGAAAGTAAATTTATAAATTCTGTTATTAAATATACTGAACTTGCTGAAATTTTAAAATATTGAAAAATGCAAGACTGTAATCATGTGATCATGCAATTCAAGATTATAGCAGTCTAATATAGCAAATCTGAAAAATTTATTTGACATGGAAATATAAGAAGTGAAATGATTTCTGTAAACAAGAAAAATGCCAGCATAAAAAATTTAAAAAATGACAATATCAATTTTGAGATTATAAATATCAATGTATGCAATAAATTTTGTTTAGATATAAAAACATACTAATTTAGTAAATTTAAAATTTTAAAGATTTATGAATTTTTTAAAATTTTATTTAAATTGAATGAATATGTTAAGTCATATATTTAATGTTACTTTATTTACAAGCATTTGTTTTAGTTTAAAATAACTATCAAACTACTTTTAAACTAATTTCCTGTTAATTTATTATTATTATTGTTGTGTTTAGTGGGTTATACTCGGTTCACACCGGTAACTGTGTACTATGCTGGACCAGAGTCAAGGCATAGCAACCAAAATAAAACTAAAATTAAATAAGTGTGTCAGTGTCAGTGTCTGTATTCAGGAATTTCCTAACAATGTGGCATGTATTCAATATAATGGCCTTCTGTAGTGTTATGTATGTATTTCTATTCAATTGTAATGTTTCCAGGCTTTTGTGTAGTGTGTGGTATCACACTTGTACAGGAGAGAACAACAGGTACAATAAGCACCCTATCCATCCTCCACAGATGCCTTATTTCCTGGGCGAGTTCTGTGTACTTGCTAATTTTTTCAGTGCATGTGTTTTGTACATTGTGAGTGTTTGGAATGGCTATGTCTATAATGTATGTGATTTTATTGTGTTTGTCAATGAGTGTGATGTCTG